ACTCTACCCAGAATCCTTAGTTTTGATCCCTTCCCGAGTAGTTGGCATTGGTAGCCGAGCACCATCTAGTTCTTCCAATCTTGAGATCCATTGTATCCTAGGGCTGATCGTTTCCAAATGTCCTTGGTTTTCTTCACTCATCTTCACTTCAGATGAGAGGAGACCATTACCTGCATCTTAGATGGCCGCTTGAAAGCTTTTAAGACCCCAGTGCTACTCACCAAAGTAGGTTGTGGAACAAGATTTTTATGTATTATGTTGTATATGTAACTTTTATCGCGTGATAAACCCACATTTCTTATAGATGACATTTACTTCTTGTTTTGGTTACCTAGTGCCTCTCTGACAAGAATATACCACAAATGGGATGGCTTGAACAAATATGAATTTATTCTCTTACGGTTTGGAGGCTTTAAGTCCAAGTTCAAAGTGCCAGGCTCTAGGGGCTGGGTTAAAGCCCCTTGACCTTGGAGTTCAGCTCTGCCTCCTGCTCCCAGCCCACTGGAGCTAGAGGCTTTTCTTCACTCAGACAGCTGCTGGCTGCTGAAGCTGACAAGCCCCAAGGTTGACAAGTAAAAAGGCATAGTCCTGATGTTACCAAACCACATGGCAGGCCATTAATTCAAGTCCATTGAAAGTCTCAAGGTCAGCAAAGCATGGCTACATGCAAGGTTCAAGCATGCCATAAGCTAGAGACCAGTCCCCAAGGCTTCTCCTTATACAGAAAGCAGACCACATCCTTAAGGCAGCTACTCAGCTGCTCACAATAGATTCCACCATGGAGTTGATTACTAGTCTCATCATGGGGAATACTACATCCAGCTGCCCAGCCACTCAACCAGGCCCAGCCAAGTTGACACACAAAATTAACTACCACACTTCTTATCATAAGAGTTGACAAAATAGCTTAATAATGGTGGATTTTGGGACCTCTGGTAGCATAGTGCCTAAGGCACTTGACTGCTCACCAGAAGGCTGGCGGTTCAAACCCACCAGCCACTCCTCGGAAGGAGGGTTGGGCAATCCTACTTCCATAGTGATACTGCCTCGGAAACCCAAGGAGGGGTCGCTATGAGTCGGGGCTGACTCGATGGCAAACAACAACAACAATGGTGGATTTTATTAATTTTTCTATGAAGGTTTGGAAATTTATTTCCCTTTATATTGTTTCTATGAGTCTATGCTTATTAAAATTAATTAAATCGGGTTTCCCTTAATACATATATCCAACTCTGTAGTGCAGTTTAGCTTCCAACTGAAGGCTCTCATATATGCAAGACTTCGAAATCTTGCATTCTTAAACAACCTCTCTGATGTAAAATGGTCATGCAATATAAACTATGCAATATAAAATACAATGGCAAAGTTTTTTGCTTCAAGACCTTGGTTTTTTCTACTTCTTCTACCTAGAATATTCTTCCCACCAGTATGACTGTTGCCTCCTTTATTCATATCTCAGCTCAAACGTTATGTCTCAGAGATGTCTGTCTTTCCTGTCCACATGTTCTGGTTACCTGGTGCCTCCCTGATAGGAATATACCACATATGGGATGGCTTTAACAATAGGAGTTTATTCTCTTAACAGTTTGGAGGCTTTAAGTCTGAGTTCAAAGTGCCAGGCTCTAGGGGCTGGGTGAAAGCCCCTCAACCTTGGGGTTCAGCTATGACTCCTGCTCCCGGCCCACTGGAACTAGAGGCTTTTCTTCACTCAGACAGCTGCTGGCTGCTGAGACTGACAAGCCCAAGGTTGACAAATAAAAAAGCACAGTTCTGATGTTACCAAGTCACTCAGCAGACCATTAATTCAACTCCATTGAAAGTCCCAAGGTCGACAGAGCATGGCAGGTTGCTAAACAATGACTCAGCTACATGCTGGGCTCAAGCATGCCATAAGCTGCAGACCATTCCCAAAGCTGCTTCTTATATACAGGAAGCAGACCACATCCCTAAAGCAGCTACTGACCTGCTTGTGGTTGATCCCACCAGGGAGTTGATTGCCAGTCTCATCATGGGGATTAACTACCACTAGCTGCCCAGCCACTCAACCAGGCCCAACCAAGTTGACATACAACTTTAACTACCACACCACACTAGCTAAAGCATAATTTCCCATCTCACCTTTTTCTGTCTTGCTTGGTGTGATATTATGACTCCTAGCAGGTACTCAATGGGCTCTGGTAGCATAATGCCTAAGGCACTTGACTGCTAACCAGAAGGCTGGCAGTTCAAACCCACCAGCCACTCCTCGGAAGGAAGGTTGGGCAATCTACTTCCGTAGTGATACCGCCTCAGAAACCCAAGGAAGGGTCACTATGAGTCACGGCCAACTCGACAGCACATAACAACAACAACAACAGTAGGTACTCATGGATTTCTGAATGAATCAATTGATGATGTTTTTAAATTCTCAAGGCTTATAAGTTTTCTGATATACTATAAACACTTAGACTTTCCCATGAAGGATTTTGCATTTTCACCTCCTTCATAAGGATTCTGAGTTCTTTAATCTATGATGAGTTTTAATTTCTAGAAGGTTTTTCTCATATTCAGAACAAACATAGGGTTTCTCTCCTGTGTGAATTCTCTGATACACAGTTGAGATTTGACTTCTCTTTGAAGCATCTAGTACACTTACTACATTTATAGAGTATCTCTCCTGTATGAGTTCTTTGATGTATGATGAGATATGATTTCTGGAGGAAAGCTTTCCCACATATATGCTACTTGTAGGGCTTCTCTCCTGTGTGAACTCTCTGATGAATAATAATGAAGTATGATTTCTGGAAAACAGCTTTATAATATTCATTGCATTTATAGGATTTCTCAAATCTTTCTCCCATATGAGCTCACTGATGTAACATGAGATATGACTTCCAGGAGAAGACTTTCCCACATATAGTATA